GCCAGGCCTGCCTGTCCCACTCGGGACATGAGCGGCTGAAGTTGGGGCGCCCCCCCTACCCCCGCGCCCAGTCCTTCCCCTGGCTGGGCTGCCTGCGCTGCCCGTCCCCCTCCTGGCCCCCTTCGTTCTGTTCTCTCAGGTAAGTGGGCTGGGGTGGGTGGAAGGGCCTGAGACTTGGCCAGGCCCGGCATGCCGGCTTTTGGGGGAGGTGGGGTAGCCAGGATTGGGGCCTGCCGGCAGGTCAGGCCACTTTCCATGGCAATGCCCAGCTGGAGGGGCCCCTCAGCTCTAGGGTGCAGCTCCCATCCTGTGAAAACTTTCCTAGTCCTGGGCCCTGGCCCCTACCTTCATCTCCCCCTTCCTAAGGCTCTGACTGGTCCAAAGCAGGATGACACCTCCCCTTCACCCCCACCCCCACCTCCACTGGGGACAGGCAGCCACAGGGACAGATGGTCTGGGTGATGCTCCCTCCCCTTCTCATGGCTGAGCCCCTGCGCTGAGGCTACTGGGAGTAACTGTGGTTCTGGAGAGATGCTGAGTTTGTGGGTGTCCATTAGCTGGAGGTGTAAATCAAGGCTGTCACAGAGTATTGGGCTTTAGCTCCTCAACACTCTCACCCAGGCAGGCGCGTCCATTCCTAGACTTTGTTCAGAATTGAAGAGGAACCCGGCTGTCCTGCTTCTCTTCCTAGAGCCTTGACCTGATCGATAGCTTTCTTCACTGCCCCTGAGACTAAGGGGACAGGCAGTGATGGTTTGGGGTCCAGGGGATGGGGGAAGAGTGGCCTGGTGAGGGGACAAGGGGCAGGGAATTGAGACTCTTCAGCTCATTGCCCAGGCCTGGCCTCTGGTGGGCTGTGTGAGCTTTGGCTTCCCGAGTGGTCTTCACCTCCCTTTCTGTGAAGTGAGACGACTTGGGGACTGGGTGGGGGCTGGCTCTTTCCTAAAGACACCCTTTTTGGTCCACACTGGCTGGCGTGTGAAGGCTGTGGCCTGTGGGAGCCCATGCATGGGCTGAGGGCTTGCTGCAGGTGTCCCGATCCTGCCTGGGGCTGCTGGGCTCCAGCCCTTGCTGGGCATGTTGGGGCGAGCTGAGCGCAGAAGCCTGCTAGGCAGGATGGGGCACACGTGTATGCAGGCACACACAGGCTGGCTCTTGGCACCTACAGGGACTGTGCTGTGTATGGGTCCCTCTGGGACCCTCCTTTTGCCCACATTTATGAGGAAGGGGCCCGGGGGAGGGAATTAAATGACACATGTTGGCACAGGGTCTTCCTTTGTCTCTTTCCCCAAAACATAAATCTATAAAAGTAGATCGTATAGCCAGGTACCCCTGTTACAGGTACCCTTCCAATGCAACCAAGTTTGGGGGAACTTGAAGTAGATCTGGCTGGTGTCAGAAACTTTAGGGTTGTGCCTTAGTTTCCCACTCCTATCTGGTACAGAAGGGGAGAAGTGGAGGTGGGGAGTACCTGGCTTATACCTAGCAGTGGATGTCAACACTCCTTTCAACCAGGAAATGGTAGCCCCAGGAGCTGTATGTTGCTGATTGAGGGGGACACAGGCAGACATCACTGTCCAGTTTGTAAGTGGGTGGGATCTGTAAGCCTCAATAGAGAAAAGGGGTTGAGGCTTTAAGTTGCAGTTTTGTTGGAGACAATACTCTACCCTTGGTGGGGGTGGGAGAAGGGGCTGGGCTGATAAGGGCGTGACAGTTGGTGGGGGATGCTGAAGACCCAACTGGTTATCTGGTGGGTGGCAGCCAGCAGCAACCCCCCCCCCCTTATCTTTCTTTGCCCTGCTCTCCTAAGACTCAAGGTTGGGGGAGGGGCAAAGAGTTGGCCAAACACCCCCTCCCTCCTTCCTCAAATGTGGTCCCTGGAGGATGGTCGAAGGTGGTAGGTGGCGGATGGTAGAAGTAGTGCAAGAATGGGGATCCGGGAGCTCTGGGCTCAAGTCCTACTTGTTTCAGTTACCACTTCTGTGGTCTTGGCAAGTCCCTCTGAGTCTTCAGCAGCCTGGTGTGTTAAGTGGGAATAATGTTACAGTCAACCCTGCATTGTGATGACTGAATAAAATAGTACCGATTACGAGGAGCTTTATCAAAATTCGATTCTAAGCTTTGGGTGTTACTTGGTCTCTCGTGGTGCAGACACTTCTTCTCGGCTTCATCTCCTCCCCTGATCAAGTCATGGGAAGAAAGGGTTCTTGGGTACGGTTGAGAAGTAGTGCCAGGTGCCCCTCGAGTTGCTGTCTTCCCCCAAGCTGCCTCTGGCCTGGCAGCTCCAGAAGACCTGGCCCTGGCCCTACCGACTGAGAAGTCTTCCCGAAGACCTCCTGACGACACCCAGGGGTGTCCTTCTTTGCCCTTTTAGGTTGTTCCTCAAAGTCATTCAAGCTGTACTCGCCGAAGGAGCCCCCGAACGGCAACGCCTTCCCCCCCTTCCATCCTGGCACCATGCTGGATCGGGATGTGGGGTGAGTCTTTTGCCCCACTTCCCACACCTTCTCCAGATGGGATTCTCCACTCTGGAAGGGGGAGGGAGTGACTCTCAATAATTCTTGCCTTCCATCCCCATGCTCATGGCCTATTCTCTTACACAGTCCAACTCCCATGTACCCGCCTACATACCTGGAACCTGGGATCGGGTAAGTGGAGTTCAGTCTTTCCATCACTAGGGTGTGGAGGTGGGAGGGAAGGCCCTACTCCGACTGACCTCCCTTCCCTCCTCCTAGGAGGCACACCCCATATGGCAACCAAACTGACTACAGAATATTTGAGCTTAACAAACGGCTTCAGAACTGGACAGAGGTATGGCTAAAGAAGCGGGGGGCTACTGGGAGGGCCATCCGGGTGCCCTTGTGGAATGTCTCACGGCATACACACCCTTCTCCGGGATCCCTAGGAGTGTGACAATCTCTGGTGGGATGCTTTCACGACTGAGTTCTTTGAGGATGATGCCATGCTAACCATCACTTTCTGCTTGGAGGATGGACCAAAGAGATACAGTGAGTAGCCTCTGGGGGTCCTGCTAATTCTGCTTACTTGCTGCTTACTTCTAAGGTCTGGTGGGGAGGGTATCTACTCGTTTTGAGGTCTTTATGTCCTTAAGAGTTTGTTCAATTTCTACAGCCATTGGCCGGACCTTGATTCCACGCTACTTCCGCAGCATCTTTGAAGGGGGTGCCACGGAGCTGTACTATGTGCTTAAGCACCCCAAGGAGGCATTCCACAGCAACTTTGTGTCCCTCGACTGTGACCAGGGCAGCATGGTGACCCAACATGGCAAGCCTATGTTCACCCAGGTCAGCAACCCAACTGGAGGTGGGACAGTGAGGCACCTGGGCTTGCTGCCCCTCTTCTGTCTTTGAGTGTCCTCCCAGCAGTCCCTAGGGAGGAACAAAAGGAAGCACCCATTGTACCTGGGCACCAGGGGTACAGCAGTGTAGCCCTGTCTCACAGAGCTTAGAGTAGATGGGGTCTATCCCAGGCTGTGTGGAGAGAAGACAGGGGTCTGTTTAAAGCATTTTTGCTGCATTTGTTGTGACAGATAGATGGGAGGTGGTATGCTGTGACCGTTGTTATATATCCATTTATTTTGTTGTTCTTTTTTTTAAACAGTTTTATTAGCATATCATTTACAAACTATACAATTCAGTAGTTCAGTCATATTGAAAAGAGTTGTTTGTGTACCCGTTTGTATGTACAGGTGGCAGTAGGGTGTGCAATGGGAGAGTTTTGAGCACGTGGGGGAGATCGTAACGGGTGCACTTTCTAGTCTGTGGAGGGGGGGCAGGAGCAGGGTTTTGACAAGCCTGCACATGCCCTCCCCCACCCAGGTGTGTGTCGAAGGCCGGTTGTACCTGGAGTTCATGTTTGATGACATGATGCGGATAAAGACGTGGCACTTCAGCATCCGGCAGCACCGAGAGCTCATCCCCCGCAGCATCCTTGCCATGCATGTAAGTTGTGGGCAGGACCCAAGATGCCAGGGTGAGAGCAGATATCAGACAGGGTAGGACAAGACCTGCCACTTTCTGACTTATCTCCGTAGACCAGTAGGGTCCCTTCATCTCATCTTTGAAAGTGAGTTTCAAAATACCTGCTGCCCCTCCTTTCTCAGGAGCAGCAGTATGCTTAGGTGACAGTGCAGGTGAGCAGGTGCAACCCCAAGGCCAGCATTCTTGTCTTTCTTCCCACTAGGCCCAGGACCCCCAGATGCTGGATCAGCTCTCCAAAAACATCACCCGATGTGGGCTGTCCAATTCCACTCTCAACTACCTCCGAGTAAGTCCAACGGTCTACTGCCTGCCCCAGCCCACATGGGTTCGCTCAGTGTCTCTCCCTTGACGAACCACATCCTGGTCTACCCCCACAGCTCTGTGTGATACTTGAGCCCATGCAGGAGCTCATGTCCCGCCATAAGACCTACAGCCTCAGCCCCCGTGACTGCCTCAAGACCTGCCTTTTCCAGAAATGGCAGCGCATGGTAGCACCCCCAGGTGAGTGCCTGGCCCCTGGTTCTGCAAGACTGAGACCACACTAGACTCCGGCTCCTTAGGAATCAGAATGGGGGCATGAGGGCCCAGGCGCTCTCCCACCTGAGTCTTTCCTCCTCGGCACAGCGGAGCCCGCCCGGCAGCAGCCCAGCAAACGACGGAAACGGAAGATGTCAGGGGGCAGCACCATGAGCTCGGGGGGCGGCAACACCAACAACAGTAACAGCAAGAAGAAGAGCCCAGCCAGCACCTTCGCCCTCTCCAGCCAGGTACCTGTAAGCATCTCGGCTTTCTTCTCTCTTCTGGGCTGCCCTACCACTGACCCCTGACCCAGCCTGAGCTCACTAGCAGACAAAATCACAGGCGGTTTTTCTCACGGTCCTCTGCCTGCACGCACTGCTGACTCCTGTCACTGAGGAGAGAGTCCTCACCAGTCACGTGTGTGTGTCACACAGACTTGGACTTAAAGGGACAGAGACAGCCACGAGAACTCACATATGTTCAGGCCAGACAGTTTGAAGGACACAGACCATCAGAGACACAAGCTCACATGGATGCAGGACACCCAGACATGCACATGCACACTTTCCCCTCTGATGTTTTGGACAGGCTTCTCCTCTCACATATGGACAGAAGTTGAGGATTCTCCCCCCCCCACCCCCCCACCTTTTTTTTTTTAAGGGAGACAGGCTAGGGAGCTAGGGAAGTAGATTGCCTTCTCCCACAATCTAGTTGGACCTGGGCTAGAGACTTTGAGGTGCAGGAGGTCTTCACTGGGAAGGATTCTAGGAGCTGGGCTTTGAAATTTGGGTTTGAAGAGCGGGGTGGGAGTGGGGTTGAGTTTCCAGGGTGGGTATTGGGGTTTTGGGGTGTCTACTGCCCTGGGCTGGGCGAGCCCCTGCCCCGATTATGTTTGGGGACCTCCGCCACTCTCAGGATGTGATGGTGGTGGGGGAGCCCACCCTGATGGGCGGGGAGTTCGGGGACGAGGACGAGAGGCTCATCACCCGGCTGGAGAACACCCAGTTTGATGCGGCCAACGGCATCGACGACGAGGACAGCTTTAACAACTCCCCCGCCCTGGGCGCCAACAGCCCCTGGAACAGCAAGCCTCCATCCAGCCAGGAAAGCAAATCGGAGAACCCCACGTCACAGGCCTCCCAGTAAAGGCCCCCCAAGGCCACCCAGCACTCTGCCTGCCTGCCCCAACCCTCGCAGCCCCAGGGAGCAGAGGACAGAATGAAGAGACTGAGCATTGCAAATGGGCAACCTCCATCCACCCGCTTCATGGAGGGACTGGACTCATGAGGGTGCAGGCGCCAAGACTTGGGCCCCCCCCCGCCCCCCAGTGGCCCGGGGGGAGGCCTGACCTCTGCAGAGCATTTTGAGGGAAGGGGAAACTTCTGATGTCCACGTGGGTACTGACTGGGCCTGTAAGGAAAGCTGTGGCCTGACCACCTGACCACTCCCCCCTTCCCCCCCAGGACGTTTACCTCCATTCTCACTGGGCTCTCCATCCATCCTCTGACTCTATCCCCTTCAAGCCTGGGATTGGCACCACCCACAGCCTTTAGGAACTTGAAGTTACAGGGCTTGGTTGGATGCCCCACCTCCCCACTCCCCAGGAGGTTGGTGGTAGAGGGGTAAATCTCTGGGCTCCTCCCCCTTCTGCTACCTATCCTAGCTCCATGTTTTTAAAAAAATAATATTATTAAAAATGTAAGTTTTTAAAAAAAGATCACTCATGGCCCCCCCCTTCCTCGTATTCAAGTCCAGCTACCTCCCTACTCCTGGCTTAGGGCCCAGATGGGGTTGGGAGTAAGGGGATATGCATATCGTTTTCTACCGCTTGAGAGTTTCAAACCAAGGAGACACCTTGCCCTCTCTCCCCTTTTCCTCTTGGATGGGGGCGGGGTGGGGGGGGCAGGTCATGAGGCAGGGGAGGCCAAGGATGACCATGTCTGCCCCTCTTGAGGACAACCCCCACACTGCTGTCAGTCTCCTCATCTTCTTGGTGACCCCGCCCCTCCTGCCCTCCTAGTGCTTGTGATTTCCTCCACAACCCCAGCCCCCAACCCCCCTATCTCCTCTCCACTAGAGCAGTTGTCCGGTGGGGGAGGGTGTGTGTTGTTGGGTCTCATTTGGGCAGGCATGGGGTGGGGAGGGGCCCATCCACTGTCCTCTCCTCTCCCTCCTCCCCTTCAACTGCATAGCTAGTGCAGCCTTTTCCATACAGGGGAAGGACCCACTGAGGGTGCCTAGTTCTGCACCTACCTGAGAGCAATGGGTTTCTATCCCCCCTGGAGCGTCTTCGTTTCCCAGGATCCCCTCTCTCTCCTTCCTGATGGAGGAGAGACAGCCAGGATCCTCTGCTTCCTTTCGGATAGGCCTGGGGAGGCCAAGGACCAGGGTCCTTTGCATCTGGGCCCAGGTCCAGCTTTGCTGCCTTCCCCTACAGGTGGTCCCAAAGTGTTAGCATCGCCTCTCACCCCCAAGTCTCCCCACACCGTGTTTCTTCCACTCCAGCTGCTGGGAGGGTATCACATACAGAGCTGAGGGGAGAGGTGGGGAACGTGGGTTTCCCACCCCAACTGTAATGCCTTTTTTTGGTGGGGGGCCATTTGAGTCATGTATGGTACCAATCAATAAAGAGAGTTTTTGGTTTGAGGGTGTCTTGTTGGCTATTGATGCCCAGTGATGACTCAGTTCAAGTGCATCCTTCCTGCCGGACCCGAAGACCAATTACTGGGGATGGTTGTCCATTGGACTTGTGAATTTCCCTTCATCACCAGCTCATCTCGCTCGCTCCTGGGATTGCCTCTCTGGTTTCTGTCTCCTTTGCCCCCAACCACAGTTTGCTTCCAGTTAGTCCAGGTGCTCCCTCCCTTGGAAATTGGCTCCCCGCCCTCCCCCACTGGAATCCTCCTGATCTCACCCCTAACTGCCATGGGACTGCCAGCTGGTGACTCTCGAGGTTCCTGGGTTAGATGGGTGTAGCTTAGGCTGTAGGGGTCAGGTGTTGGGAAAGGAGGGCCCCTAGTGCTAGGCAGCCTTGGGTGGGGGAGCTGAGGCAGTTAGAACACCTGTGAGACTCCTGGTTTTGTCAGTGCAGTTCCAAGTCCCCTACCTGCCATCCCAGCTGAGATTCCAGAAGTCCTCTCTCCTGGGGTAGTAAAGTCTCCTGGGTGGGGGATTAAGGGAGTAGGAGATGTTTGTCTCCTTTCAGAGTTTGGGTGGGGGATCTGGGGGTAAGAGGATGGGAATGCCTGGTGCTGTGGCTAAGGGGCAGCCCAAACTCCATAGATCCAGAACAGTTTCTGTTCTGTGTGCTGCAGTCAGTCCTGACTCTGAGGACATCTGATGACGTAGTGGGGTTTAGCTTGGGTTGCTAACTGGGGAGTCAGCAGTGGGAAACCAGCAGCCCCTCCTTGGTGCTCCCATGGAGATTTAGAGCCTCAGAAATGCAAACTGGCACTTCTGCTCTGCCCGGGACTATCAGGGGTCAGAATCCCCATGAGACAGAAGGACTGGGAGGGAGGAGTGAGCACCACAGCTGATGGTGATCACACAACTCATTTGAAAAGCGGTGTAACCACGAGGAAAGAAATATTCTAAAGTTGGTATAACGATTATATAATTCTTTTTGATTATGACTGAACTATTGGTAATGTGGATTATATGCCAATAAAACTGTAAAAGAATTAAAAACAATAACCTGTCCCATCGAGTCTCCCCAGGCTGCCATCGTCCGGAGAGCAGTTCCCCGGGTCTCTCCTGCACTCAGTGGTGGTTCAGACTGTCCACTTGATTATCAGTGGAGTGCTTACCCATTGGGCCACCAGGGCTCCTGGAAGGAGGGGCAGAGCTACTCTCTCCAGGTAGTTATTCCCCAGCATCGAAGAAGATTGGCAAGGTGGGAAGGCCCTGCTGAGGGAGGGAAAGGGAGTCAGCCCCCCCCAATCCTCTTCCCCAGGCGCCCTCCTTTTCACCCCAGGCTGGGGAATGTGAGTTCTCAGACCATCAAAGTCTTTAAAGTTCATCCCAAGCCCCAGCCCCGCTAGCAGGAAGAAAGGACCACACAGTCCAACCCACCCCTTCCAATCCAAGCAGTCACCCCGCTGCCAGCCTAGTTCTTCAAGGCCTGCCCTGGCACCCCCCACTCCTGCACACCTGGCCTGATGGAACGACCCTCGCCAGCCAACTGCTGCCATTGACTCACGGTGGAAAACCCAGGTAATATCCACCACGATGGGTCTATGTCTGGTTCTGGGGTATGCCTGGCCTACATGTGAGTGCGTGACTACTGAGCTGGAAGAGGGTGTGGGTATGTGTACATAAGAAGGAGCATATACATGTCGGTACATATGTGATCATATACATGCATATGGTAGGTGTATCTGTGGAGCAATTGGTGCGTTCATCCAGGTCTACATTGCCCTCTAAGGGCCTCCTCTCATCTTATTTTCACAAAGTACGCCCTTTATTTTGGGACTAGTAGGAGCAGAGGAGATTATAAAGATCTGTAGATGGGGCCGGCAGGGGGTGGGATGGGGGTACTGTAGTAGGAGCTTCAGCAGGGAAATGAGCAGGAGGGGTTGAGTAACCTAGACATGCTCTGGGATGGGCTGTGAGGAAGAGAAGACATTTGAATTAGGAGGCCCCTATTTCCAAGCTGGGTTTCAAAAATGCTGGCTCCACCTTGCCAACTGTGGCCTCCCAGAACCTGGAGTGTTACCCATATGGCCACAGTACACCCCTGCCCCATCCTGAGGTTTTCCATGAAACCAGAACAAGACATGGGCTGGAAGACCACACCCTTTTCACCTAGGGTAGCTAAACTCTAGGTTATTTCCCTCACCACCTCCAGGCCACCAACTGACCTCTTCAGGAATAGGACCTCTAGGGATCAAGCCAAAGTCAAACCACTGCCATCAAGACGATTCCGACTCAGAGTGACCCTATAGGGCAGAGTAGAACTGCCCCTTTGGGCTTTCAGGACTTAGGAGCAGAGAACCTCATCTTTTTCCCTTGGAGCTACTGGTGGGCTCAGACTGCTGACCCCACGGTTAGCATCTAGCTCAGTATGTAAGCCACTGTGCCACCCGAGCACCTTGACATAAGGATGGATCCTGGGGAAATCCCAGAGGAGACTGGATAGAAGAAATATCTTCCCCGTCATCCCCAAACGAGGGAGGCTTGCCTGAAGGTACACAGAAGTAGATTGACCAGCGCTTTGGTTCATGACACACTTTCATCGGCTCCGTGCACAGCACACACTTACTTGCTTATAGTACTGTCATGAGAACTCAGAAACATGAAAGTTAGACTCCGTGATAACTTAAACCTAGCCGTGCGGTCTGTCCCATCCCAGCCTTCTACCAAGCTCTACACCCTTCCCTTGCTTTCCTTTTTAACTAGGGTTTGTTTGTTTTTTTCAACCAACACTGATTTATTTATTTTTATTAATCATTTTATTGGGGGGCTCTTATGACAATCCATCAACACTTTTTTTTTTAAACCTCATGCCAGGCACTCTTAAGTACCTGGCACAAGGCCCTCACGAATCCTATATGCGAAGAGTGGGTAGAGAAAATGTATATTTTTAAAAAACAAATGTTGTTAGGTGCTGTGGAGTTGGTTCTGGCTCCTAGCGGCCCTGTGCACAACAGAACAACATAGGCCCCATCCTAACAATTGTTATGCCTCGTGAACCAGATCCATCTCAGCTCTAGGGAGCCCTGGCAGCTTGGTGGTTAAGGGCTCAGCCTAACCGGAGTGTTGATGATTCAGCCCTCCCTGACTGCACTGAGGCAGAGACTGGCGATCTGTTCCCACAAAGTTCACAGCTTCGAAACCCTTAGGATGTTTCTAGTCTGTCACCCAGGTCGACTGGAGTTGAAAATGGGCCGGATGACACCTAACAGTCTCTCAGCTCTTTGTATTGCTGACGCTCTCTGTTTTCATCACAATTTGGAATTTTATTTAGAACTAATTTTTTTGTTGTTCTTTTTTAATTTTTTATAACAGAGTTCTGCTGCATGTAATTTGGGGAACTTATTACTTCCCCGTGACTATTGTGCTGCTAAAATTTATTTTGTTACTTTCTGCTCCAATCCATTCATGTTGAAGGCTATATGTGTGGCTTAGCCAGTTGTTCATCCACTCTCGTCACTGGGCATTTGAATTGTTTCTAGTTTTTGTTTTGTTGGTTTTTTTATTGTGAAGAGCACTTTTATGGACATGTTTATACGTGTCTCCTACTATAGATGAGGGAACTGCAAAAATTTTGTGGAAAATGGAAATAAAGAATAATACATTTTTTCCAGGAACATTTTGAAGCCTCTTTGTATTTAGTTGTGAAATCAGAAAATTCATGTTCTCATCTCAAAAGCTCAGGTCCGAGTGCTTTCACTGTTAGCAGGTGATCCAGGATTAATTTGAATTGAAGTTCAAACATTTGTTAAACACCTGTTCTATAAACTGTACAAAATTCCTGATGTATGAAAGTTCCAAGGATTGCCTAAAAAGAAGATAAAATGTTGTCACGAAACGTGCAGAGACCTGAAGTTAGAAACCAAAAGAGAAGAACATGCTCACTCTTTTTTTTTTTCCATGTCAGATGGGTAACGTGCCGGCGTCGTAACATTAAGGGAGGCACATATCACACAGGCGCGTGAAAACCCAATCATCATGCTTATGAACCGGAAAAGGATCCTGCTCACTCGTTCTTAAGCTGAAAGAACTGAAGAAGAAAATAAGCCTCAAGTTGAAATATTGAAGGATTCTAAGGGCAAAATATTTAAAGATTCAGGAAGCATCAAAAGAAGATGGGAGGAATACCCAGTCATAGTACCAAAGATAATGAACTGACTTTCAGCCATTTCAGGTGGTAGCATGTGATCAATGACTGATGGTATCACTGTTAGCTGCTTTGAAAGGGATCGTAATAGAAGGTCCTGTCTAGAGGGGAAGAAAAATGTGGCACAAAACATAGAGTAATTTTTAAGAAATGAATTGCATAGAGACTGGTGGAACCTTTGAGATCCTCTGTCACCCGTCAGGTCTAGAAATGACTTACCTCCATGGCTCAATTTTCAGTCAGTTAATAGACAGGTCTTTAAGGAGAACCGTAGCACCAGAGAGGCACACACTCCTTAGAATAAGCAGCCATTTTAGCTCGAAAGGGCAATATCAGCCCAAGGATAAGTTCAGAAGGATTTGGAAAGGAGGAGGAATGGAAACAGAACACAGTGTGGGTGAGCAATGCTACATTGTGGGGACTGCAGTCAGGCATGAAATAAAAATGTTTATGAAGTGTGAACAGTTTCCTGGAAAAATGGGTCCACTCTGTGCCTTTTCACCCAGATCATAAAGAAAGGTAAAAGAAAAAAAACCAATGGTATGAACCACAGAAGTCCTAGCTGCACTGAAGGCAGTGGTGAAGAATAAGGCCAGGAATTGACTGAGTACCAATTGAGGTGTTTCAACAAATGAATGCAATGCTAGAAGCACTAACTTGTCCATGCCAAGAATTTGGAAGACAACCCACAGTCCACCAGCAAGACAATTGGGCAGTCCCTCTTAGAGGGACCTCACAGAACGGAGGATAAATTCAGGGTGCAGTGTGGCACTGATGAACCACATAACTATCTTCTAGTGAGGCCCTT